AGAATAAATGAACATTTCTTAGAAAAACATTTAAAAAGCAAGCATTCATTTGTTGGAAAGATTTTTCTGGGCTCCATTTCTTCTAAACTCAGCTCAGAAATTGAACAATCCCCTCTTTAGTTCATTTATCTTGTCTCACATTTCACTATATGCAGCTAGTAGACAGTGGAGGTATTCTTTCTGTTACAAAATCTCCCCTATTGGATCTGTGAGTTCACTGGGTGCTCCTTTTGCCTTGTTAACCACAGGCAGCAGGGTTGGCAAACTCAGTCTTTGCATACATAACAAAGGTCCCTTCTTTTGGCCTCCAAGGTCATTTTCCTCATTGTCTTCAAGCCTCACCAGCAGTTCCCTCAAGGTCTTTCCACTGTCCCTAATGGTCTGAGGAGTCCCTTCTAGCTTGCCATCTCCATTTCTTCAAGACCCTGCCAGTTTCCAGCCACCACTTGGTCCCAAAGCCAAAGCAACATTTCCACCCCTATTATCTAGTGTTGCATAAAATCTACCTCAAAACTCAGTGGCTGAAAACAACCATTTATTCCCAGCTCCCCAGGTTCTGTTTGTAGGCTGAGGGGCTTGGCTGGGCAGTTCTCCCTCAGGGAATCTCACACAGTCAGATGGCAGCTGGGCTGGGCGTCCGCAAGGGCTCACTAGCAGGACTCACAGCTCAGCTGGTGTTGACAGGAGCAGCTACACATGGTCTCTCATGTGGTTTGGGATTCTTATGATCTTGAAGCTGGGTTTTAAGAGGGCACATCCCAAGAGCCAGCGTGCTTAAGAGGCAGGAAGCAAACACTGCCAGGCCAGTTAAAAACTATTCAGCATTGGCACTGTGTCACCCTTGCCATTTTCTACTGATCACAACAATCACAGACAGGCCACGTTTCAATGGCTAGAGAAATAACCTCCACCTCTTAATGAAAAGTGGTAAGGTTGTTTAGTACAAAACGTGGGTAAAAGCAATTGTTAAGAACCATTTTTGGAAACTATAATTATCTCCGTTAAAAATGGTGCAGACAGAGCTAGGGACTCTGCATTACAGTTGATCCAACCTATTAACCTGGTCAGACCTTGAGTGCTGTGTTTAGACTGCTGTCAGGAGAAAACTTTTTCTGAGGTATAGCCATTGCCAACATAAGCACTTACTGGCATGTGTGAAGGTTCATCCTCAACAGGAGGCATGTGAAGAAATGGGCTGTATGATGGGAGATGTGCATCCATTAACCAAAGGCAACTCCTTGGCCTTCAGTCCAGGGGTGACATCCTACTGCTTAGAAACTATTTCCACCCTGTAATGGATACAATATAAATCATAGGAATACTTTTTTAAGTAGACACAAAAATAAAAGCAGACATTCCATGCTTCAGTCTATTTATCACATGTATACATTTCCACTAGTCCCATCCCCAAAGGAGAACATGTAATATGCATTAAATAAAAGGATGGATGTGAAGGAAAAATAACTATAGCTTAGTTCGGAAACATTTATGGAGCATCTCATATGTTATAGAGGTTGTGCTCTATCTATCTCCTTAGAACATCCCTATGAGGTAGGTATTATTATCTTTATTTTATTAAGAGGAAAATGAGACATAAAGAATCTAAGTAACTTGTTGATGATGACAAAGCTGGTAATTGGAAGAGCTTGATTAATCCTGAAGTCTGAGTGCTGATTAATTCATGATGCTGCCTGATCAAATTCATAGTAACCACTGCAGAAACACTGATATAAAGATAGCTTAGGAGAAATATTTAGCCACTAAATTGATCTAAGTATAAACAACCCAATAGCAATATATATTCTCTTGGAGACCTTATTTTTAAATTAATAAAGAACCTCCAGTGCAGTTACACCAGAACAATCATAAAAGAATAAGTCTGAAATAGACATGTAGACCAATGGTACAGAAGACACAGAGACAAAACTATATAAATACAGTTACACTATGTGAAGGTGCCAAAATATACACTGAAGAAAAGAGAGCCTCTTCAACAAATGGTATGCTGGGAAAACTGGAAATCCATACATAGCAAAATGAAAATAAAGCCCTCTTTCTCACCATGCATAAAACTCAATTCAAAGTGGTTCAAGGACCTAGGAATTAGACCAGAGACCCTGTGCCTAATAGAGGAAAAAGTAGGCTCAAATCTTCATCACATGGGATTAGGTCCTGACTTCCTTAACAAGACTCCTAAAGCACAGAAATAAAATCAAGAATTAATAAATGGAATGAACTCAAACTAAAAAGCTTCTTCTCAGCAAAAGAAACAATCAATCAGGTGAAGAGAGAGCCTACATTTTGGAAGTAAATTTTTGCCACACACACGTCAGATAGAACATAAAATCTCCAAAACAAAGAACTCAAACTTAACACGAAAAAAATCAAACAACCCAATTAATAAATGGGCTAAGGAGCTGAACAGACCCTTCTCAGAAGAAGATATACATTTGATCTACAAATATATGAAAAAATGTTCAACAACTCTAGTAATTAGAGAAATGCACATCAAAACTACTTTAAGATTTCATCTCATGCCAGTTAGATGGCAGTTATCAAGAATACAGACAACAATAAGTGTTGGTGAGGATGTGGGGGGAAAGGCACACTCATACATTGCTGGTAGGACTGCAAATTGGTGCAACCAATCTGGAAAGTAGTATGGAGATTACTTAGAAAACTTGGAATGGAACCCCCATTTGACCCAGCTATTCCACTCCTCAGTCTATATCCAAAGAACTTAAAATCAGCATAATATAGTAATGCAGCCACATCAATGTTTACAGCAGCTCAATTCACAATAGCTAAACTGTGGAAGCAATATATTATTCTCTTTGTTTAAAATAGTTTCTTTCCCTTGCAATTACGAATATTACTATATAATGATAAGAAAAATGAGTAAATGATCTTGGCAAATGTATTATTAGTACTTGAAAATTGTAAGCAGATTCATTACCCTTAATTCCCACAAATTGTAGCCTTCCCTCAAATCTGGGTTCCTTCAAAATCGGGTTCCTATAACTAAGAATTTGCTTGTGCATATTCATCAAGCTTCCACCTGGAGAGGGGCTGTGTTGTTCTTGTTCACTCTGATAAAACCCAACATCTGGCACATGCCTTCTTTGAATAAATGCATACTTATCACTATGATCAAAGACTGATATTCTGCACCAGAATATTGCACACAATGGAAACAACTGTTCCGCTATTCAGAAGACCTGGATTCAACTTCAAGCAAACTGGGAAAGTAACTTATTTCTTCCTTCAGGAAAGTACCATTGAGCACATTTTGCCATTGACATTTTACAATTCAAATAAACATTAGCAATGATCATAGAATAATCTTAAGCAAAATACCTAAGCAAAATATCTAGCATTATTTCATTTTAATTCTATAAATACTATATTTCCTTTGTAAATCTGCAAACAGAGATGTGCTGTTCCTTCCTGAAGGACTCATTACCAAGCTGCAAGGAATGTGGCCAGATGATAAGACTCCAGTTGTTAGCGTTGTAAGGGTTCACACCTCAGCTTTCCAGCCAAGATCCTCCTAAACCTGAGGTGGCCTCTAGCCAATGAGACAATGCAATGGAACAACAGTATAGCCATCTTCACCTGCCATGCCCCTGACAACCAGTGTTTATTCTGGAGCTTTCTATTGTGCTGACAGCAATTTGACAGCTCTGCATCATTCCACTTGCTTCCTGTGCCTAATTTCACTTCCATTCTTTTCCATCCACTGGAATTATGCTCCTTTATAAAAGTCTTCACTTCTCCCTACACTTTAGCATCCTTTCCCTGGAAAATGTTATGACAAACCATAGACAAGTTTGTTCTTATTATAGTCTACACATTTACTCTCTCACTTACCTTTTAAATCTGTTTATGTAAGTAATGCTTAGTAAGTTTGGTACAGGTACAGAAATTTTGATTCTTCACATAAACACTACACTTTGATATACTGGTATAAAATATTTTACATTATTTTTAAGTACTTTAATGATTTAAATGTATTTCACTGTATTAAGATATAACTATTTTTAAAAGATATGTATTTCAAAATTAGGAATTATGAAATCAGAAAATAACAAAACTTAATAGCACCATCTGGTGGTTGTTAACAGAACTGTCTCACTACTCAACCTTTCAGAGCCATATTCTTTGTGCTAGCTTCTGTACACCTCATTTGAGCAAGGTTTGAAAATACCATCTAATTAACAAAAAAGGTAATAAATATTGAATCAAGCCTTTAGAACTGATAAGTACATACAAAATTTATTTTCCTTTCTCAAAGCTTGAGTTTAATAATCCCTTTTTCTCCATGCTTCCCATCACTGTTAGACTATTTACTCAACTTGCTTATTTCTTTGTTGTAGTTGTGTCTGATAATTGATAAACATTTAATACTGAGTATTATAGGCTCTGTGAAATCAGAGCCTTACTTGTCTTATTCGCCATAACATCCTCAGTGCTAGCTAGCAAAAATATGATGGGTACTCAAACTTTTTGAATAAATGAATAAATCTTAATAAACAACTACAATGGGCTCATCCTTGGAATTGGGGTGGCAATGGAAGGAGGGGGGATAACTTACATGAGAGAAATTTTTCCTGTAAACTGAAAAGATCTTAGGATAAACATGAACAGAGTTGTTAAAGAAGTGAAGGCCACAGCCAACCAGGAAGAACTGAAAGGCCTAGCTAGAAGACATTAGAGGAAGACCACAACCGGCCAGGGATGTTTTTACAAGTGTTCAAAAGATTCCAACCAGTGAAAATGAATGCCTAGAGGGAACTTTCATCAAGCACAATTACCTTTACAACTCTGACACAGTTACACAGCCATGCTGAATATTTACAGGAATACTGATACTACTTTATAAGGCATCCAGTCAACTGTATTTTGAGATTTCAGGCTACAAAAAGTACCTAAATGTCATTAAGATGGGACTGAATGATTTATAAACTAAAAGTATTGGCCAGTTGAAACAAACAAATATAAAGGGTGTTAATTAGAAAAATTATTTATTTCTGCTCCTTTCATACATCTTACTGTCGAGGAAACAGTCTTGCATACATATGTGAAATAACGTACTATCACACACACTGTTTAAAGGCAAAGCACCATCAGTGAAGCGGATCAGCAGTCCAGAGTTCTCAGTTCTCAAGAGTTCTCAGAGATCTTGCTTCCTGATTTTACATTAATTTCTGAAAATCAGAAATATCTCCAAAAAATGTTAAAGGGGTTTGTAAAAAATAATCATTTTATTCAATATTATAATTTTAGAAGAACAGTATATTTACGAAATGAAAAACTAAGAAAATGACACTTAACATTCGTTGGACAGGTCAGTAGGAAAAAAATACTGTGATAAACTTGTCTCTGATACCAAGAAATTCTAGTCCAAGCTTTCATTTACTTCCTATATTTTCACTTGATACTTCTTTTACTGCTGCTTTTATTCTTTTCCACATTTCATAGTAGAGGACTGGTACAGCCTTTAAAACTTCATCAACAGGAGCAAATCCAGAATCCATTGATTTCTTCTCAAAAGGCACTCTAACCCATCAGATAGCCCCTGTAGAAATAAAATTCATAAACACAAAAAGTGAAAAGGGTGCAACATTTTTCAAAGTGCTCAAATTTTATGATGAATCAAATAATCCAAAGACATAGCTGTGATTCTTTATCATGGTTCCTATTTCATAACTGGCCCCTCATCCCAATAAGTAAATAAATTATTCCCCCTCAAAGAATAAAGTTGCAAAGCAAGGTGAGGATATAGCTCAGTTGGTAGAGTGCTTGTCTTGCAATGCACAAGGCCCTGGGTTTGATCCCCAGTACCACCAAAAAAAAAAAAAAAAGTTGCAAAGCAATACACTAAACACTGAATAAGAAAAAAGGAGAGAAAAGAAAACATTATGTAAAAGAGTTAAGAGTCAGAATCAATCAAAATTACAACAAAAAAATCACAAGTTTTTTATGAAAAGAAACTGGTTGGAAAAGTCTTATTACCACAGGAGAAGGTGGGAGAATGAGTGTCTGGGAGGTGAACCTTTTGGTTCTCAAGAACAATGTCAGAAGCATCTGCCCCAACACCTCCATTCATTTAGGAAATGTCCCAAGAACAGTTATGAGATTTAGTTATATTTATAGATAAGATCAAATTTCACACTGATCAAATAACAGATCCTTTATTAAATATGCAAGTTAAATATAAATATAGAAGCTAAAATCTTCTTTAAGTTTGGTGTTTCCTTTTGGAGTGACCTTTTGAGATCTAGTATTAATTAAGAATCTGCAGATCAGGGAAAAACAGGAAAATTATATAAAACTAAACACAATAAGAATGTCTTAAATAGTAGAATCAATCAGACATAACTTTCCTGTTAATATATGAATACACAACCAGCATAACTCCATATCACATACAACCACAAAAATGGGAAGTTATACTCCATGTATATGTGTCAAATACATTCTACTATTATATGTAAAAGAAAAAATTAAAAAAATTTAAAAGAAAAAAATAGCAAGTAGACATTGTGAATATCTTTCTACCTTAACCTGCAGGAATTGAACACATGACTGTAATAAATTGAACATATGACTTTTATACATTTTTTTCTACACATATATGTATCCCTGCTTACATTCCTTTTTTAAATTTTTACTTTAATTATTTTTAGATATACACGACAGAGTATATTTTGACTTTTAGACTGTTATGAAGTATGCAAATAATTTTTAAATACATATAAATTCACCAATGGGGGAAAAAAATCTTTATATACCTTGTACTTATGGATGGCTTCAGAACCTCTCTCTTTGACCCTGCCTCTACCACTTATCAGGTTAACCTGGGCAACCTAACTCAGTTTCCTCATCTATAATGAGAGTTACTGTACAGGGTTTTAAAGATTATCTGAGAGAATCTATTTATACAGTACCTGCTATTCAGGGTAATAAGAAATTGAAAAGTGTTAGCTGTTATAATTATCAAAATCTCAAGGGTTGTTTTTTTAAAAAAGATACAAAGTAAAAACTATTTTATAACACTGAGGACTACTCAGTGTCTGGCACATGGCAGACACTCAAGAACTTGCTTTCCTAGCTCCTAGCTTCGGGACTCACTTGTTTCCACAGACAATTAAGAGCTATTACAGCCAGTGAAAGCTTCCCAGAACTCATATTGTTTTCCTTCTGTCATATAAGCTTGGCTAATCTGCAGCTTCAGTGGAGAACTTTCATCTAAAACAACTACTTTTACAATAACTTAAATACAACCCAACCCTTTTCATATCCCCTACCTTCAAACTGAATTAAAATAAAAAATAAAAAGGCCCTTTAGATATACACGTTGTCTTGGAAGACCCCACATATATCTTCTACTATAATGTCCAATGCATCACAAAAGGAATACTTTAAAACCATACACAAAAAGGCTCAAGAAAAATTTAAGCCAGGATCCACTGGCACCTACACCACACAGAGGAAGTTACTCAATGGCTAGCTTATACTACCTGTGGCCTCTTCAGGATGGTTTCCTGTCATTTGCATATACTAATACGTGAATATGCACTTTGGCCCTCCATCCCTCTCTCTCTCTCTCTTTTTTTTTTTTTTGGAGATTGGATCTTACTATATTGCTCAGGCTGGGCTTAAACTCTCAATCCTCCAGGCTCAGTGTCCTGAGTGGCTGGGATTACATGAAATCACCACCATGTCTGACTGTTCAGACCTCCATCTCCTGACACAGTACATACTGTGGTATTCTTTCTTGCAACCAGTGTGTGACGTATGTTTATGTACTATGAGTCCATGAATTATTGTCAACCTATATTTACATAGAAAAGAATAGTTAAATGGATATACATTTACTCAAAACTGACAAACCTGTATATGTGTGTGTGTGTGTGTGTGTGTGTGTGTGTGTGTGTATATATATACCCATAACATGAAAAAAATAGAGGACACTTTGAAACACTGCAATACTATAAAGAAACCATTTTAGAAGAACAAATAAATCAATATCATGTACTTCTCAGTAGGAAATAAAAATGTGCTGAAATACATTTACTATGATCTCTCCTGGAATCATTTAACCCCTTCTAATAAATCAAAAATTTCATAATTATTATATTCAGTTCTGTGAACTTTTAAGTATTATATTCAGGTCTGTGAGAATTTTATGCAAGTATAATTATAGATAAATATAAGAACTCAAAAATTAACCACAGACAGGAGAAGCCACCATAAAGGATCTTCTATTTAACCTTTAAGGTATTTGTTCTTTCAATAATCACTGAGTGCCTTCAGTACATTAAGACAGACAGTGAACTAGGTTAGCATTAACACAGAAATTTCTGAAAATAGTATGACTCACATTATTACTTTTTCTTTTTTTTGGCACCAGGGATTGAACCCAGGGGTGCTTAACCACAAAGGCACATTCCCAGTCCTTTTTAATATTCTATTTAAAGACAGGGTCTTGCTAAGTTGCTTAGGGCTTTGGATAAGTTGCTAAGGCTGGCTTTGAACTTGTGATCCTCCTGCCTCAGCCTCCTGAGCCACTGGATTACAAGTGGGCACCACCACACACAGCTTGCATTATTACATTTTTAATCTCTGTAACAATCCTAAAAAAGTAATGGCTGAGGGTGTACAGCTCAATGATTGAGTGCTTGCCTATCCTTTGCAAGGCTCCGGGTTTGATTCCTAGTACGGCAATATAAGACAATGAGGGTGGTTAAGTCGTTTGCTTAAAACCGCAAGGCAAGAAAACAACAGAAGAGCATTAAAACACAAAAAGTCTCCTAATGCCTGTTCTGAATATTAAGGTGGCAATACAAATGTGTTAATACTTCTAAAGTTTCAGCTATATGGAAGAACCACATATAGGCATCATCATTCCCTAAATAATGTTAATTTAAGTTTTATTATATTCTTTTTTATTTTTCATTTCCTCCTCCTTTTTTGTTTTGTTTTACAGTACTGGGGATCAACTGAACTCACAACCTCATGCATGCTAGGCAAGTGTTCTGCCCCTGAACTATATCTCAGTCCTTCATTTATAAATTTATTTATTTTTATTTTCAGACAGGGTCTCTCTTCTACCCAGGCTAGAATCAAACTTGTGTTCCCCTGGTCTCAGCCTCCTGAGTACAGGTGTGTGCCAATATACATAACTAAGCAGGATTTGTTGTTGTTTTTGCAGTACTAGGGATTAAATCCAGGACTTCATGCATGTTAAGCAAGTGACTTATCACTGAGATACACTGTCAGTCCTAGAGTAGTTTTATATACAGCTTTATAACAGACTTGACTAATTGTAGGAACCTTGCTTGATTTTTAGTCATTACACTACAACATTGCAAGCCACCTTTTATTTTTATTGTTTTCATGTCTATCATGCATGAACCCCTGATTCAATGCCCAAGTGGCAAAAATAATTAAGAACAAAAAACCTCCTGCTTTTAGGTCAAAAGTGCCCTAATAGTGGAGGCTAAAGATAGTCTAATAACCATTCATTCTTTTTCAAATGAATCATTCGTACCAAAATCTTCTACCTGATGTCTGAACATTTTATTTTCTTTGAGCCTGTGTACATTTTAAACACAACATCCAACAGACACAATTTTATACACATTATCTTATTAATTATATTAGAAAATTTTTATCTTCACAATAAAAATTACGCCTTTGTAACTCTAATAATAAAAATATTAGGGATTAAAATTAATTTTTCCACTTCAAGTATATTGCTGCATATGCAAATAGCTAATGAACATTCCTTTTATTAGAGTCTATATTTCTTCAAAGGTCAAGGCATCAAATAAAATCATGTTTAATTAGTAAAATCACATCAAAGGAGAGACATCAAGTTTTTAAAGAAGCATAAAGCAGTAAACATAGAATACAGTAATACTGTTTCAGTGCTCCTGTTTTTTCCTTTTTAAAGTTACTTCTTGATAAAAGTAATAATCTAACTCTTTTGAAAAAAATTTCACCCTGAAGTTATCATAATCCATGTTATAGCACAGCCATCCTTTTGTTAGAAAATGAGTTGATTTGGAAAAGCCAGTGAGCTACTCACATTTTTTAACATCTTTTAACATCTTGTTATTCCACTTAACGTATCAAAACATTACATACCTTAGGATATTATAACTTGTGTGAAAGAAGAAATACACACACCCTTTCCTTGCTGGTGTCTTAAGCCAGCATTGTGTATAAACTGGGCCAACAGAACTCATAATCTCCTTTGAAATCACCAAATACTCTAGAAAACCAATACCATTGTTCCCCTTCATCTAAAACTGTTCACTGTTTATCTCTACTCTATCTACTCTACACCCACAGGACCAGGCATTAGGAGTTACAAATGAAAAATCATATGAAAGAATGAACTATAAATTTCCTCCTCTAAAAAAAAAAAAAAAAATCACATCTTGCTAGGTGCAGTGACACACGCCTATAATCCCAGTGGCTCGGGAGGCCAGGGAAGGAGGATTGCAAGTTCAAAACACCCTCAGCAATTTAGCAAGGCCCTAAGCATCTTAGTATGACCCTGAATCAAAATAAAATATTAAAAAAAAAAAAGGCTGGGGTTATGGCTCAGTGGTTAAGCATCCATAAGTTCAATCATATCTTCAATTTAGGTACAAGACAAGTGATAGAAAGTAGCAATTTTGTGTTTGGACCATTATTCTACTTTGATTAGATCTAAACATAAACTGCCACTGGAACCCAGAGGATATATCTGGTTTCTGTACCTTCAAAATTGGTTTTATTCAAACAATTTCACATACTGGCCTGTACAACTGGAATAGGGAGACAAATGTTTACATAAATAATTGTAAAAGATGGAGGATAATCCAGAGAATTAAACACTTTCCAAAGCCTTTTTTATAAATAACAGATGGAAGAGTTCTTTTATCATAAAAGTCAAATGCCTGAGCTAAAAAATAAGACACTTCTCATTTAACATACCTACGAGAAAACTGCAAGAAAGAAAGATGATACTAGGTAGAATGGGAACAAAACAGTTCTATCAGTAAAACCAGCTCACTTCTGTTTGCTACATGTCTCCAAAGATTTCCTCAGTTTCCATTAATTCCTAGTAGCTTCTTTATCCTCTCTAGGAACCTCTACTTTTCCTGCTCTACCAGTCTCTCCCGTTCCTGTACGCTTTGCCAGGATATGGTGGATTATTCCCAAACAGCAGAGGAGTCTAAGGGGCTATGTGACCGCACAGGCATTAAGCTGACAAAGAAACTTGTGCACTCTCTTTCCATACTTCCAGGGATAAGAGGGGAATACTACTGCAGGATAAAGAATTCTGACTTCTGAAGAGAAGTCTGCCCACTCTACCCCAGATATGTTAGACAATAGGTAGGCTAAGCCATAGGACAAGTGAACTTGTAAAATTCAAAATATTAGGAAATCAGTACAATTGACAGTAATGTTTAAACACAGTACCTAATAAATAAATAAACCCACCAAGAGTTCATCTTTCTGTCATATTTGCCCAAATTTCTAGTTACTAACGCATACATAGGCAAAATCAGAATGTAAGAAAATGTGATCAGACTTGCCCACCTTTCAAATTAATTATCTTAAATGGAATTATAAGTTTCCACAAAACAAATATGCTTTTCTTCTAAAGATAAGTTCTCTGATTAAAATAATTTTTAAATATATATTATATATAAATATAATCTTTTTCCAAGATTTTAGGAGGCAATAATTCTCTTTTCCCATCCAAGGCATAACAAATTTTTTCACACAGATTGAATATCCTTATTCAAAATGCTTAGAATCACAAGTATTTCATATTTCAGACTTTTAATATTCACATATACACAATGAGATACACTAGGGATGGGACCCAAGTCCAAAGATAAACCTCATTTATGTATGTCTATACAGACATAACCCAAAGGTAATTTTATATAAGATTTTTAGTAATTCTGTGATTGAAACAGTTTCATGGTATAGAATTTTCCACTTGTAGCATCATGTCAGTAGTCAAAAAGGTTTTAGATTTTGAGATTAAGGATGATTAAGCTATACCAATATTTGAAGAGCAGCAGCAATTAATGACTTGAAAAATCTTTCCTATTATTACACTGAAATCCCTTTTATTGATTAATCAAAAGGCACTTTAGGGAAAAAATAATTATTGCCAGTCAGTGATGCTGAGGTAAAATAACTAAATTTTCTCATGAACATGCATGGGGTGCAACCAAGACAACCTATTTGGTCTCAGTTTTATTACCAACTATAGCTATAACCTTAAGCAAATAACAATTTCCTTTAGTTCTTGACCTTTTTATCTGTTTAACTGAGTGTTAAATTAAGTCTCCTACAATTTTACATTGTCCAAATAATCCTTTTTCGAATTTGTAACAAAAGTTAAACTGCTGATTAAACAAAATATTTAACTTACGGCAGTTTCATTCTCATGAATACTCTAGCCATGAAAAAGCTCAGTAGGACACAGACGAATCCAATGAATAGAAGAAGAAATCTATTGAGTTTTGGAATATTTGGTGCATTGGATCGGTCCAGGATTATGAAGCCTAAACCTCCCATTGTAAACAGGAAGCTGGATGCAAGTCCTTCCATGATATATTGTCCATTTACTCTGGAAAAGAAAAGATCACAGAAAAAAAAAATGAATATTTCCAGAAAAATGAAATTTTTCCCTTTAGATTGAGATTTCTATTTCTGCTTTATGTTAAATCATTTTTATGATAGTTTTTTTTATCCTTACAACTTTTTAATTATAACTTTTTATTTTACCTTTACAGCTTTTTATTAAACCTTTGGATATTTGCCTCCTCATTCATTCAAATATTTAGTGTGTCAATCATGTAGAAAGCACTGTTCTAGGAATAAAACCATGAACAAAACAGACAAAAACTTTTCATGTAGCTTATATTTTTAAAAAAGTTTAGTTTAGCTTTTAAAGTTATGCTATTTAAGAGAGCTAAGCTTGATGGTGTTCGCCTATAATCCCAGTGACTCAGGAGACTGAAGCAGGAAGATTGCAGGTTCAAGGCCAGCCTCAGCAAATTAGTGAGACCCTGTCTCAAAATTAAAAAGTAAAAAGGACTAGGAATATAGCTCAGTGATAAAGTACCCCTGGTTCAAGTCCTAGTTCCAGAAAATAATACAATTATGCTACTTAAATTTTTACTATTATTTTCAAATTAATTTGAATTGGTAAAAGTGTTTCTTAAAGGTTTTAACACAATAAATAGTAAACTTCTTTTTTCAGTGGGAAGTATTTTTAAAGTAAGTGTTCTTGATCCCACAAAGACTTCAGCAATCTATAGACCCTTATAATTATATGTGTATATCTGATTTTTCATGAGTTAGAGAGCTTCTATCAAATTCTCAGGGTTCCAGGACCTCTAAAAACAAATCTATTTGTTAAAGGGAAGGTTTTATGTAGGTATTATAAAGAAGGTGTGATATATTTTTAATTAACTGATTATTTTCGTGGAAAACACCATACCTGCACCAGATCCAAATTCCAAACAGTACAAAAGAGGACACTATGAAAAGTCTCCCTACTATCAAGATGTCCTGTCAGTTACCTCCCCACCTAAGAACCACAACCAATTTTTTCCAAGCATGCCCTATACATATATTAGCATTTCTATAAATATAAATGTACAGCTATATTTAGATAGATACTTATCAAGTGGGTTTTAGAAAGCAATGTGATAAGGATTGTTCAGGTGAAACAAACCACACTGGATTGTTGTTTCACATATTAAATGGAACTCTTAAGTCTCAACAGTTACTTTTCTCATCCAATGGTGTAGTACAGGGTCCACAATATTTTTTTCTAAAATGCCATATAATAAATATCTTAAGGGGTAAGGATATAACTCAGTGGCTTGTCTAAGCATGTCTCAACAAGGACCTACATTCAATCCCCAGCACAACCCACCCCAAATACACACACTACAAATAAATAAATATCTTAGCCATATGGTTTGTGTCTTTCTCAGTTCAGCTACTTTAGCTTCAAAACAGCTATAGGTAGTTTACAGATGGAAACGCCTAATTCCAGTAAAATTTTATTCTCACACACACACACACACACACACACACACACACACAAATGGCTGCAATTTGCTGACCCCCAGAATATAGGCTATAAATGTATTTTAAACTGACACTTCCTTTGAGTTGGTGATACATTAATCATTGTCAAATATTTTTATTTTCTAACAAATGAATATACTTCTACTCTTGCTTCGCTGCCTTCCACTTCAAAATCCCACGTTTTAAAGACAGTTTTTTATCTAAATGTAGATGGGTCCCCCAGGTTTTACTATATTTTAAAATAAGAATGGCATGCCCCAGCAATCTTCTTGCCCTCCATCAAGTCATTCAGAAAGGTTTTTTACCTGTAGGCCAAGAAAGCTACTGGCCTCTGATGCCCATGTTCATCAGTCATAGAGCCAACACTCGGAGGTTCAACAATAACATCATAAATTATTCCTATATGAAAGACAATAGTACAGATTAAATTGAATCCTAATCTTTAAAAAAGAATTAGTTCTCATTGTCTCTAAAGGTTTGTTTACATTTAAATAGGACTTCTTTGACTGCATTATTATCATCAAATTAGGTCAACAAATCTTCCAGGTTTCCAATAAACCATTCAGATATGCAACACAATGTTTTTGGGAAGTTTTCTGGCTGTTTTTTGTTTGTTTGTTTTTCTTTTTTTGATACTGGGGACTGAATCCAGGGGTGCTTTACTATTGAGATACATCCCCAGCCCATTTTTATTTTTGAGACAGGGTATTGCTAAGTTGCTGAGGCTGATCTCAAACTTGTCCTCCTGCCTCAGCCTTCCAAAGTTGCTGGGATTACAGGTGTGTACCACTGCACCCTGCTCAACCCATTGTTTTAAAATGACTTCTAAAATAACATTATCTCTAAAAGAACTATCAATTTCATAAAGGAAACTTTTTCAATAAAACTTGCTAATACTATGAATTATTCCATAATAAAGAAGACTTAACATTAAAGGTTTTATTTTTGTTAACACACAATCCACTGAGATCAACTGAATCTAGTTTCAACCAAGCTTTAATTATATTCTCCTCCTTTTCTACTGCCACACAACCTAGTATAGTTTGTCAAATACAAAAGTCATGTAATTGGTCTCCTGGTTCCACATTCGTCTATACTTTCCTCTCTGCCTAGAAATGTTCCACATATTCTTGTATTTCTATAAATTGAGAAACAACTAGAAAAGTTTTCCTGCTTAAATGTAGAAGGAGGAGACATTTTAAAAACACACCATCTGGCAGATTTGCAATACTAGAGATTCACAGTCATTAATATTAGTGTCCATCATTATGTCATAGTATCAGCATGAATTATTAATATTAATGCCCATCAATGCTAACAGTTTTCTTGGTTCCCACTGTTGACATCTATTCCTCACCTTCTTCGCTGTTTTTAAGCATCCTCACCCCAGCTTTTCTTAAACATGGCAGACCTATGCCTATCCCTCACCTAGCCTGACAAAACAATGACCTAGGAATTCCCTTATCTTCTCCCCATCAAATCTACAAACCCCTGATACTTGTATCCATCCTCACCTCCTTTACTTCAGCTACAATAGAGGAAAAGTCCCTCCTCTTATCAATGTGGAATTTCTTCTACAATTATCAGGACTCCATTCCCTCCCGCCTTCTCAGGCACTCTTTTCCTGTAGTTCTCTCTTTACTTGCCTCTCTTTTCACTCCCTTTCCCTACATCAACCCTCCCTTGACTTCTGATTCTTCTTACATCCTCTATGCTTTCTGTTTTGAAAGGAACTCAGACTTTAATGTCTTTTAATGATAATATCCTTTATGATAATGATATCACTAATGATAATCATTACCACTAATTATCATCATTATCATAACATAATTAATGTCCGATAATGAGAACATAGTTAAAGCAGATATAAGCTCAAGAGGAATTTGTGTATATTCTTCAATATCTAACTTACAAGAGTTCAGGAAATAAGCGACCAACTTCAGTACAGACCTCTTTCCTCAGTTCTAGCTCTTATTAGCAAATTTCACATATCCAACTAATTATAACCCCAAGTGGCCTCTGGTTCACTGTTCCCCATCAAAAACTCTTTGTTTATTCCCTCTTGGAAAACAACACTTCCATCTGTCTACATGTTCAAACCTGAAACCAGTAAGTTTCCTTCATACTTCATTCTTCCCCTACACTCAATCCACTGAGATCAAATGAATCTAATTTCAACCAAGCTTTAATTATATTCTCCTTTTCTACTGCCACACAACCTAGTATAGTTTGTCAAATACAAAAGTCATGTAATTGGTCTCCTGGTCCCACATTCCTCTATACTTTCCTCTCTGCCTAGCATATCTGTCCTAATTTTTCACATGTGGGCATACATGTCATTTCTCTAGAACCACCTTCTAATCTAAATGATGGCTCCCAATTCTATTTTCCATAACTTCTTGTTCTCCTCCTTCATTGCATTTGTGACAATTTGTAATAGAAAAAAATTATACAACATTTAACATGTTTCAACTACAACATTATAAGCTTCAGAAAGGCAGGATCATTATGTATCTGTTTACTATAATGACAATACCTAGTGAACAGAGATTCAGATGGACTTGCTCAGTACTTCTCAGTGATACATATTATTTATTTATAAAGGTACACTCAGTTTTTAAAAGACTCTTTTCCAGTGGCCAAACTGACACCTCACGGCCTTGACCACTAAAAGATGCCCCTTCCATTTCTTCCAGCAGTTGGAGTAGAGAATTTCCTTCATTACAATCATTTACAGAGAAAAAAGTGGCCACAATGAAAAAGAAAGCTTCAAGCAAAAGCTTTGGCACCAAGAAAAGTAAGAGCTACAGGATAGAGATTTGTGGATAGCTCTATTATCCATTAAAAAAAAAAAAGGCACAAGCATTGTAAATTTCATTTATTCGTTTTCAATTACTATTAACTTGTTGATCAAATGTTAATGCTAATACAAATGCTAAGTAATACCTTACCAACATAAAAATATTTAAAATGAAATTCATTTAAATGAACATAAATTAAAACTATTTCCAGATTGGAGTCAAGGGTAAATATCAAAGTACCATCTACAATCAAACCCTCTCAGTTTCATATTTCTTCCTCTTTAATGCCAAGTATTCTCACAAAATATCTATAAAAATATGGCCATTCCCTTAAAAGCAGATAAATCTGCAGAGCTTTAATTTTGTAGTTTCCGAATTAAGCACCACATTTCCCCAAATCTAAAAATACAGTTAGTAGATCTTGGAATTGCAGCTTGAAGGAATGGTGGCTCTGAAGTCTACAGTCAGAATGCCAGCTCACCAATAGACAAGGCAACGCCCCTTTGAAACTTACTACTTGAAAAGTACAGGATGACAGATAATTGAAAAACGCTTCATAGTAAAGCTGTTTTTCTTACTTTAAAAAAATTCCTCTACTTCTGCATTCGGAAATATAATAGCTTCTGCAAATCTCATCTCCAATATCAAGTATTTATCAAAACCGTGGTTTTGGAAAACTCCCTTCATATTAGGCAGAAGGCAACACAAGAAGTTATCTTCCAAGATTCAGAGACTTCGGACAAGTCCCATACCCTCTTGAAAAAAACAGTGGGCCAAACGTGACATTCCCAAGACCTGTGTCAAACAATGTATGGCAAGAAGTACACAACAGCCTGAGGGTGAAAAAGACATTCGACGTGGACCTCTGCGACAATAGAAGAAAGGCAAAGGGCGTGAGAACACAAGTTTTCTCAAGATTCAGGACAGAGCGCAAGGGTAAATAAGCCTGTACATTAACACCTGGGACCCCGGGACTTCCCTCCAACCTCCAAGAAATGAGAGCACAGCGATGCTCCCCGGGGCTGAGGGAGCCAGCGAGCTGAAGCCCCTCCCGAGCGGGTCAGCTCTCCCAGCGCCTCTGGGGCCCCAGACGGCCCGAGTTACCTCCGGTGATGAGGAAATAAGACACCACCACCAGAGCGTACACCGTCATGGCCGACGGCATGTGCACCCAGGGAGGCTTCTTCAGCTTCAGGTTGGGGCATTCGAGCACTAAGAACGGGACCCGGTAGAAAGTCTCCATGTTGGTGGCGGCCGGGGCAGCTCTCGGGCCTGCAGCCCCACGCGCCACCCGGAAACAGGCCCGCCCTCCCCATCAACTGCGCGTGCGCGAACAAAGGACTAGCAGGTCCGCAAAGCTCGGAAGTAGTTTTTATACCCATAGAGGAAAGGAAGAAACTACACAGACCAGTTAAATTTGCGATCACAATGTATCTAATTTTTAATATTATCAAACTTAAGTTGGAAAAATAAACTCGGTTTGTTGCCAAAGGATAGACAAGTGATTACATATCTTCAAGGACCTGCAGGGTTTCAGACGTGGCCAAGCCAGAGAGGCGGAGGGAACCAAATCCAAATGAGCCCCTCCCTCTTGCTGTCGCATGGGATCTGGAAGCTGATTGGATACAGGACGCTCTAGGTTCACAGAACTGAAGAATGAATGGGAACTTTAGGAAAGGTCCGCGTTTTGTATTGGAGGTTTTATTCCCACAAGGGATCGAGAAAGCCTTAAATCACAGAGCTTTAAAAAACTTTCCCGTTGTATAGGGGCGATAGCAATTATTAGTAGTAATTACTAAAATAATGTATTATCACTAAAAAAAAAAAAAAAAAAATCCAACCCAGATCAAAACTATCAACAGGACATCTTGGAAGGCTAAGGCAGAAGATCCCAACTGGGCAACTTAGCAAGACCCTGTCTCAAAATAAAAATAGTTTTTAAAAGGATACGAATATAGTGGTAGAGCACCCCTGGGTTCAATCCCCAAGACCACAAACAACAGGAAATCTCTACAGGGATGCTTTGGTGCTGATACCATGGCATGACCAAACTAGTATTCTAAATAACTTGTTCTCTCAACTTTTCCCCTCCTCAGTCACCCTTAACGTCTGTAAATGGTAAAATCACTCAGACAAAAAATCTTGAAATCATCCTAATTTCTCCACTAATTACCTGGTGCATCCAAAATATCAGCAGGTTTTTTGGAGTTGTATTACTAAAATATTTCTAACTTAAGGGCTGCTCTCCATTCCATTGCTTCTCTAATATGAGCCATCATCTCTTTTCGGGACTATTTTTTACAATCCAAACGGATTAAAAAATAAATGCCAGAGAATTAGTCTTCGGGGATGGCCTAAAGGTATATTTTGGTTATGTTTTTCTTTTTTTATATATATATAATCCTTTAGAATTCTACAAATGTTAATTTCCTTTTGGAGTAAGAGTTTAAAGCAACTAACTATACAAATCTGAAAAAAATTAACATAGTTTTGAGCCAATGTTTCTGAGTTTTGTTTATCAAAGAGCCATAGGTTTTTAATGGGGTGCCATGGATTGGTTCTGCTCTTTTGTTACTCGACTCAATTATTACCCTCTAGCTTTGGTTGCTCTTAGCTAACTTAAAAAAAATCACTAATTTTGAAGTTCTGATGTGTTGATATCATATGTTACTTTTGGAGAACCTGAAGGCTGAGTTTGCTGAAAACACCGGCTTTTCACTTGGGCTTATAGATTGTCCCGTGGTTGAATGGATGGAATGAAAAGTCTTGAAACCTTTGCCTTCATACAGTATCTGTATTCTTTGTTCCCTTTACTGTAGGGTCTGATTCTACTCAACTCTGAACTAGGACTTATTGAACATTTGAGAAATGCCCAAAACTAAAATATAGGGTTAACTTCACCTAGACTTGCCTAGTCTTTTTTCCTACCTTCCTGCCAGCCACCATGACCAGAAACATCAGACCATGAAAAGAATAAAAAGAGGAAACACCCAAGTTTCTGGTGTTTGAGGAAATAAGACACCACCACCAGAGCGTACACCGTCATGTACCCAAGTTTCTGGTGAATCTCCACTTTTCTCAGAAAAGATTTAAGTGTCCATCCCCTTTAATAGCCTATCCCTCCTTTTTTCTCTTTATTCCTATCCTATGAATATTCCTCTCATTTTTTTTTGGCCTATCCCTCTCCCTCATTATTCCTATCCTGTATCTGTAGCACTTCAATCCCTTGAAGTTGAGAAGTGTCTCTCAAATGTTGATTTTTTTCCCATGAGATGAGTCTCTGTACTTGGGTTTAGTAGCAGTAACAAAAACAAAAGTTACAAGTTGGACTGTGTCATTTATAGGGGTCAATGTTCTATAACATGTGAGATATCCTCTCCAAGGTAAAGGGTACTTGCTGTATCTGACTGGTCCTTTCACCAAGGAAGACTCATAATGCTTAGAGAACCCACTTAGGATTTGGGAAGCAACATATACCTCATTTGGTCCTACTATTTTTGACCTATTACTGAGTAATCCAATAAGATTCTAGTTTTAAATGGAACCTGGAACCAGCGAAGATTCTTGGCACTTGGGCCATAAGACCAATCAGATCCAATATTACCTGTAATGTCTTTTTTATATAATGTGATGCATAGGGATGCTCTATGAAGCGTATGACAGCCCATATAAGTGAACCACAGCACAGAGTCCTGCCTTTTGGAATAAATTACGCCATCCTCTACAGGGAAATAATTCCATTGAGAAATATCTTGTCTTACCACTGAGCCTTAGTGGAGATTATTGACCATAGGCAACAGATTACCCAGAAATTTGAACTCTGTATCATTAATTTGGCACTATTGGACCTATCAATCTATAAATGTTGGTGACCACAGTAGCATTCTATCATCAAATGAAAGTGTTATACCCAAGTTCAAGCTGAACTAGGTCTTGAAGGGACAAGTTGTGTGATTAACAGTCCAATTGGACATGGCCTACATTTCTGCAACATTTCTTCGTTTCCCAACCTATACATACAGAAAATGCCAGTTGACCAAGAAAAAGAGGAGGCCCACTTTACACATAATCCTGCCCAAAGTGCTTTAACTATTTGAAAATAGATAAATTTGCACAAAAGTCTCACTTAGGAGGTGTGAGTACTGAAGGAAAGTAGAAAGGGAAAAATGTTCCTGATGGACAGAATGCTAGCAGCGCAGTTAGTGGTTCACTTTGCCTGTAAAGGATAATAGCAGTTGTGGGTTTATAGTAATTCATGGGCACTGCCTAATCACTTGACTGGATGGTCAGAAATTAGAAGAAACACAATTGGAAAATTATTGAGAAGGTCTATGGAAGTATGTGAGTATAGGTACAAAGACATTTATGCCTCATGTGAGTGCTCACCAAAAGGCAACTTGTGCACAGGATGTTCATAATCAGGTGGACAAGATATCCTACAGAATAGAACATCCAGTGGCAGGTTAGCTACACCAGGCAAGGTCTAGTAGGTGCTTTGATTTTAGTGAAGAAATAACTTAAGAGTAGATATAAATTTTCCTTCCTTACCCACAATGCTGCTTCCCAAAGCACTATTTTATTGACTTATGACCTTATTCTCATTATGATATACAGCATTGCTTCTGGTCAAGGAGCTCATTGCTAGCAAATGAATTTGGATATTGCCTCATGTTTATGAAATTCAATTGGTTTGAGTTTGTGCCCAATCACCTGGAAGTAGCCATGTGGAATGTTTGAATTGAATGACTTTTTTGAAAACCCCGTTATGATGTTTTGAAGCAGGACAGTATCTTCCAAGACATATTATGTGATAAAACCAGAGATCAATATATGATGCTGTTTCTCACATAGGACTTATAAATTCATACATTAATGGTAATACATCCTCTCCTTGTTACTTCTAATAATCCATTAGTAAAATCTTTGCTTCCTATCCTCTACAACTTCGGGCTCTACAGATCTAAAAGTTTTAGTACTAAGGGAGGAACACCAAAGAAACATTAATAAGTAGTTCCATTGAGTTAGGAAGATGAGATTGTCACCTGACCATTTCAAGTGTCTTGATGCCACCAAATCAAAATACAAATAAAATTCAACTGTATTGGCTAGTGAGGTTAAACAGATCAATCGAGAGAAAAGTGGACTTGCCAATACAAAACGGCAGCAAGGAACATTGTGTCTTGAATCTAGGAGATTCTCCCCAGCTGGCTGCCTCTTATTCCCACATCTTGTGATAAAAGTTGAAGAAAAATGATAACAAGCCAAAAACCAAAACAACAAACAAAACACACCATAACTGTTAGTGGTTCAGACCTTTCATGAATTAAGATTTAGGCCACAGCAGCAGAAAGGAAATATGTTTCCAGTTGAGGTTTTTGCTGAGGGTAAAGGAAATATGAAATGAGTACTGCATGAATGTAAGTATCAGCTTTGACCATGTGACCAACTGTGGAAATAAGCACTGTGGTAGTTAATGACTGCTCTTTCTTACTTTGATATGAATATATTTGTGTATAACATTGACCATTTTTCCCTCTACCTCCCATTCTTCTACCATATATAATATAAAATTTGCTAGTAGTACTTAAACTACTGTTTATATTTTAGTTACTAGATATTGAAGAAGGAATATGACTCATCTAGAAAAGGGATGATTATCAACCAGAGGAGTCTGTTTCCTCTTTAGCAGAAAAAGCATTCTATTTCATCATTTAAGAGATAGTTACATTATGTTAGGGGAAGTATGATGCCGCTATTGCCCTCATTTGAAAATTACATTAAATGTTATTTTCTTTTAAAAAATCCTATATATGGATGACAAGCTGAACTGTACTTATATTTTGTCAATTTAGCTAAACTGGAACTATATTTCCCAGAATCTTTTCAGAATATAGTTCTGATGAATGGGGCCTCCAAGAGACATTATTAGTTGTAAGAGACATTATTCTTAAACTAGGATATAAATCTCTACTTTATCTTTAATAATTTATTAAACATTGAAAATTCTTGATTGAAAATAGCAGATTATTAAATACATTATGAAGTATCAATATAATGGAATACTATACAGCCACTAAAAGGGCACTGTATGGCTTAGGAAATAAATTTCTCAGCACGAATCATAAATCGCAAGAAGTAAAATCAAGATTCAGTAAATGGGATAGTATCAAATTAAAAAGCTTCACAGCAAAGGAAACAATCAAGAACACAAACAGAGAGCCAACAAAATGAAAGAAAGTCTTTGCCACCTGCACTTCAGATAGAGCATTAATCTCTAGGATATATAAAGAACTCAAAAAACTTAACACCAAAAAAA